TCGGGTAACACGATCGACGGTTTGGGGTCGCGATCCAAATTACGATCCCGGTCACGTTTTAGGTCACGTTTTCGGGATTCCTTACGCATTGGCTCCAACCCGATTTACCTCTAACACTAGATTAATACAATTAACAAACCATACATGATTGTTAATTATAATACATTAATTGTAGTATAGTTCTAATTTTATACAAGAAATCAATAATTTTACAGTAGATTAAAGCGCAACGACAAGCCTCAAATCTAAAGCATGCCAAAATAGGCTAACCAAAAGGAAAATCGGTGTCAACATAAATAGTAAATTCTTATACAAAATCGATAACAGGTAGAATCTTGAATAAAATGAGTAAAAAACCAAGGTAAGGGGAAATTTGTACTCTGGAAAATATATGTTGTGCAAACATAATGATATGCAAACAAAACATTGCATACGTATAACATTTTCATATATTTGTATATTTGCATTTACAAGGATTTAATTATTCTTTGAAAATTAATAAAAATGATTTTAGGAGAATTTTATCAAAGATATCGCAAGACTGAACCATTAGCAATTCATATTATGAGAATTATTACCATGATATTTTTCTTAATCTGCATTTTAATATTTACAGTTGATTCAATTTATAATATTATAAATGATCGACTCGTCATTAATAATTCTTATATTAAAGAGGATATGCCGGTTCCAGGTGAAAAACTTTTCATTATTTAAAACTTTTTAATTTAATTCAATTTTTATTTTTTTAAAAAAAATTTACCTTCAATTAGGTTTTCAATTCTTTTCTGAAAGTCTATTTATGATAACATGCGGTTTTGCAACATGTAAGAAAATTTTATATCAACCGAGCTCTATGTATGATGCATATTAGTCTATTTCGATGGTCTTTCTTACTTACTAAATCATTTAAAGCGGAAACTCATGACATAAACTACTATAATAATCAGGCGTGCAACCAGTATATTACCGAACCATCCGTGAAAAATGGATCTTATTACTATGGATACTTCTCGATTCCGTTTGAAAATGGATATAATTTACTTTTATCTTTGTCAAATGACACAAAATATGGAAATCGTGGTGTAAATCAAATTGGATTTCGATTTGGTTTTCTGGATCATAATGCTAGTTCAATTATTTCCATTCAAGTTTCTGACTCAGGTATATTTTATAACTATTAATTATTTATTAAAACAAATTCCAATATTAATTACAATGTATTTATTATTTGTAGAGAATGTTAACTTGAAAGGGAATATTTCTTCAATATTTTTACAATCAGTTACACAAGCTAATACCTATCAAATTCTTGTAGGAGAAGTAAAGTATCTTAATAATACAAACGTAATAATTTTCCTTTCTTTATTAATTTTAACTAATTTCTAATCTATTTATCAAAAGCATTTTAACCTTTATTTGGGCCGAAATCTCAGGCAATTTATTATCCAAAACTGGAAATCCATTTTTGGATTTCAACCTGATTAT